TAATTTCTATTGTCCAAATTCATTCATAAATGATGTTCTGACTTTTTCTAAGCAAAATAAAAGATTTATGAGAGCAATTACTCATGCTATAGTGCCCCACTACTTAATTTACTGACAACTTTGCTTCAGAGAATTCCTGCTGGGCTCTTTCACAAACGGGTTATCCTCCCCCTCGTCAACAAGGTCATTTTGTGTTATCAGCGGTTTTTGTTCACTCATTAATAACCTCAACAGAGAATAAGAAATCTGAAAACTCAGAGTAAAACTTATGAACTAGGCGATATGACATGTATCCTATTCCCACCAAGGATAGGAAGTACTCATCAGCATTGCAGGCGTCACGCAATCTACACGCACCATCGGCACTCACTAGAAATGGGTTGGAAATTCATGTGCTTCCCCTTTGGTTTGGATGGGAAGGCTTTAAAAAGTAGTTCTGAACTACACATATGCCAGTGTTTCCCCAAGTTAACCTAAAAATCCCATCCACCCAAAACTCAAATTTTCAACCCATACCCCAAAGGTGTTATCTGAGAACCTCGGGCTGGAGATAAGGAATGAAGTTTCACAGTACCGGCTGGGCTCAGTCCCTCTCAGTCTCGGAATTCGACAAGAAAAGGAAAGACGCTACCTCTCTTCTTCCCAAGAAACTTGGATTCCTCACCGCGTAAGGAATGTCAACCCATCTTATACAACACGCACTCATGTAAGGCAATGGCTTTCACCTGGTCTGGTCATTAGAATCATCTGAGGAGCTCTTCTGCAACACAGCCAGGGCCAGACCAATCTAATACGCATCTGCCTGTGGGGCCCAAGCGCTGATGATTATTCAAAGCCCCACAGTGATTTTAATCTGCAGTCAGGTTGAAAAACATTGCTCTCTCTGAAGCAGTGGTTTTGAATCAGGAGCAATCCTACCCATTCCCTAACCCATGGGACCATGTCTGGAGACAGCTTTATTTGCCATAACTGGGGCTTGCTCGTGGGGAGAGCCCCGTGTGCTGCCAAACCTCTTCAAATGCAGAGGGCAACCTATTACAACAAAGAATTATCTGGTCCCAATGTGAGTGATGCCACTGTTGAGAAACACTGCTCTAGAGAAAGAACTGGGGGGATAAACAGCTTGCTCTGTCTCTAGAGTTACCCTCACAAAAGGAAGGAAGGAAGCTTTCAGGAGGAAGCTGAACACTCATGGACCCTGTCTGTTTCCTCATGGGGGCTCTCACTGGCTAGGGTGATGACGAAGGAGAGTGTGAAGCTACTGGTCACTAGAACATGCTCTAGGTCTACAAAGTAAATGACACCCACCAAGATAGCTAAGCAATTTTTTTAGATGGATGATAAAAAAGAGAGTAATGTTTCTTCTCGTCATCCCTTCTCAGTTGCTGATAATCAGCAATATGTGCCCCTAGAATTAAAATAAAACTACTTTTGAGGCGCCTGGGTGGCTCAGTGGTTTAAGCCTCTGTCTTTGGCTCTGGTCATGATCTCAGGGTCTTGGGATCGAGCCCTGCATTGGGCTCTCTGCTCAACGGAAGCCTGCTTCCTCCTTTCTCTCCGCCTGCCTCTCTGCCTACTTCCGATTTCTCTCTGTCAAATAAATAAATAAAGTCTTAAAAAAAATACTTTAAAAAAAAATAAAGCTACTTTTATGACCTTTTCAACTGGATTCATAATGTCCAATGGGTGAACTACTTGTATGGGCTTCTGATCACCAGAATCATGTTTGCCTGGAAGGTCAACAACAAACAGCTGTTGCTGGAAGGACCTGAGTTCTCGGCATCAAACATGATGTGGGCTAAGGAGCTCCCTGTTAGGGCGGATCTGCCAGCTGATATCTGGAAGCAAAATGCCTTGGTTTCTCTGTGGGAGGGAACACTTTCAACTAAGAAAGTTTGAGCCAACCTTGGAATTCAATGGGATCAGGTAAGCGAATCCCCCATTCTCCAGGAGACTCTCTATTTGGGTACATGTCTGGATAAAAGTGGCTATTCAACTATTTCATTTACAAATCTGGTGCACAGCAAGTGACTTGAATGAACAGACAAATGCCTTAATGCCTAGATGAAAGTGTTGAATCTACCTCCTCTTCGCACATGGAATTCTCTGCAAACTGAAAAACAGCTGACATAACTTCTAAAAAAGCGAATGCACTCATGAGCATGTTATTCAGCTTGGAGGGTTTTTTTCTGTTTTGCCTTGGATTTTGTTGTTTTTCAGTCAGCTGCTAATTTAAACATAGCTATACAGTCTTAGCTTTTTTTAAGAAAGGAAAAATATCCCCAAATTCACCCTTGTATCCAGTTGGAAATTAAGCTGTTTTAACCAAAGGAAACTCTTGGATACCCAGTTCAACTGCCTCCTCCACGGAGTTTGTAACAAGATTTAAAGATGTCCAAGGCACAGTCAACTAAAGCAAAAATTGTTTTCACTAATGTTCCCTTGCTGTGTGTATGCGTGTCTTTTGGGAGGGAACGTTACAAGACCGTATTCGGCCAATATGTGTTTCTTTTCAGTTTCATTCTGCCACAATGCAGACACACTTCCACCAGCTTCCCCTATTTTTTCCCTTCACTCAAAAACCTCCAAGTGTTCATCCAAAAACACTCATTATCTTACACAAACTACAGATTATGACTGTACATGACTCAGCAGATCTACAATTTGGGATTTATCTTGATATCGGTTCCTACTTGTTTCTAGGCCAGTGATTCAACCAGAGTGTGGGGGGATTAAAAATATGAGAAGTCATGTCTTACCATCCATATCAAAAATTAATCTGTAATGGTGGGATACATGCAGGCCCAAATTTATAGGCTGATGGTCCATAAACACCTCATTGTGCCACTTCACTTTCTAATTAATTATTGAAATAAAAATGCAATGCCAATGCACTAGAAATATACTTTGGTGAGGATAGCAACTGCCAGAAGATTTTTGTCACTTATCAGAAAACCTGCCGTAAACGTAAGACTTAAATACAGTGTAAAAAAAAAAGCAACAAAATCAGTGTCATTCTAAAGAATGCACTTCTGCTATACCACACTTTTAACTAAATAAAATGGTTACATTTTAAAAATCATTTGTCAGATCACAAAGTCTATCTGCAATCAGACAACAATAAGCCATGATGTAATGTCATCCTCATCTAGAAATATACCTGACTTCATGCAAGGTGTTTCTTAAAAATTGCATTTGAAATCTTTTCATGTCCTTTAAAGCATGTCTTGATTAAACTAGAGGAGTTCTTTACTTAAAAGAGCACTTTGGGAAAGAAAAAAATTGTAAGTAAACTACCTGGCCCCTAGGTAATTTTTTTTTTTTTTTTGGGGTTCCAGATACAATGTTTCCCTTAAACAGTGTACGCATTTATTTCTCATGCTCATTAAAAAGTAATGGAGAAATGGAAAAGTCATTAACTTGAACTTTGCCGTTAACCCATTGCTCCCTGAAAAACACCCTTCATGGCTAGTGGCTCACCTCATCCATGGCAATGCGACTAAAATATCTTTTTAAATGACTTTCACCTCCTGTGAGAAGTGCACAGCCGCCGCTGCCCACAGCAATCAGGGCAGCTTCTGGGCCAGTCCTTGAAGGAGGGAGGGAGGGTGTAGTTAACGTAGCAAAAGCCCCAACCAGCCAGCCAGGAGGCCTCTGCACCCAGGTCACTTGGCTTCTCCCACCTTCTGCTTTCCAGCCCAACCCTGAAAGCAGCAGCATCCCGTCTTCCCCATCTTTCCAATTCCATTGCACATAAAAAAGAGCATTGGCTGAATTAGAAGCCAAGCTTGAGGAGTCAGTTTTCAGCACTAGGAGAAAAGGATTAGGATGAAAGGGGCTCCAACAGGTAAATCCCCAGGTACAGTATTGAAAATGTACCCCTTCCCGTCACTCACTGCTCACATTGGCCACCCCCCACCACTGTTCAGAGCTGACTGTGCATGGACTATGTAGCAGCTTTCAAATAAAGCAGAAAACCTCAGGTATCTTGGATGAAAAAACGCCACAGTTTATAAAAACAAACCTTTTAGTTCTAACTCAACCATAAGTAACATGAAAGGCTTGGGAGGGGGTTTTGTTTGTTGGTCTTAAGAAATGATTTCTTTTCCCCCTCTCTGGAGTTCAGAGTGATTTTAGAACCAAGATACAGGAAAGTAAACCCCTTCTGAAAGGTTTAGGGTCTGGTTTAGGGCCGTGTCATCAAATGCAGTGGAGATTACACTTTGGAAACCAAAGGAGCGTCCAAATACATCTGTACATTTTCAAGAGGAACATTTAAACATTTGGGAGGCTATCTCTCAGTGTAAAAACATGCTGTTCAAAGTATGTTTCAGGGAATCTGGGAGAGGGTGGTGGGTTTTGCAAGAGTGTGGAAGGAAACATTTGATGTGTTTCTCCTACAAAGGGAAGTGCCCCAACACACGGATAAAATCCTTGAGGTAAGGTAAGGCATAGCTACAGGCATTCAGGCAATGGGGCATCGAGCTTGCTGAGGGATACCATATTTCTTTTTCCAATGTTCTTCATAATAAAATTCATTTCTTTATGCACTAAGCTGTTAAATGGATTCAAAAACCTCTGGGTCAACCGTTGGATGAGAACCCCTGTAGGAAACGGCACACACTGGGAAAATACCCAAGTTCAAGACCGGAAAGCCTTAGCTTGGTTCTCTTTTTCTCTTCAATCCCTACACATCTCACCTGACCACTCAGAGTCCCTTGGAATTATCGTTCCTCTCCTTCCTCTAACTCCTCACCCCCGCCCCCCCCGCCGCCCCGTCTTCGCCAGGCTTACTCGGCTGAGAACAGTACAAACCAAAACAAATCGAGGCGAGGAAACACTCGGAGCCTCGAGCCTTGGAAGCGCCTGTTACCTCCCCTCCCCAGCCACCCCTCCATCCAGCGCCTGCACTCCTAACGTCTCTGGAAAGCCCTTCATGGCTCATAACTCTCTAGTGAGTCGCCCCAGCCAAAGCGGTTCCCCAGCACGTACTGACCCACCGTTCATGCCACTGTAGACACTCCGGTGATGGGGTGACACGTCCTCCTGCGCCTGTCTTCGGAGAGTACCCTCCCTGCTGCCTCCGCCGCTGCCTCCGCCTCCTCCGCCCACGTGTTTGTGATCGGGGCTCCCCCCAAAATGTTGTTTGAGGTGCTCAGGGCTGGTGCCCCTGGCTCTGGGTAGATGTTCCAGGCTCCCGCCGAGGGCATGTTTCTGCAGATGCTCGGGGCTGCCTCCGCTGTGCCTCGAGTGCTCCGGGCTGCCCCCGGGCCTGTGCTTCTGAAAGTGTTCCGGGCTCCCGCTCAGCACGTGCTTGGGCAGCGTTTCGGGGCTGCTCCCGGGGTGCGGGGGCCTTTGCTGCTCAGGGCTGCCCTTGCACAAGGGTTTGTGGTGCTCGGGGCTGGGTCCTTTGAGTGCTTTGGGGTGATCCGGGGTTCCGGCGGCTCGGGGTTTCTGCAGATGCTCGGGGCTGGTGCTGCGGTGCTTGGCGCGCTCCGGGCTGCCCTCGCCCCGGGGCTTCTGCAGGTGCTCTGGGCTGCCGCTGCTGGCGTGGTGCTTGTGGTGGTCCGGGCTGTCGGTGCTGCCCGTGCTGGAGGTGCTGCTGCCGTCGCCCACGTCCCGCACGTAGGGCGCCGTGGAGGCGGTGAGCTGGCACAGGCTGGCCTGGCTGTCGATGGAGCAGCGGCTGCCCGCGCAGCCGGCGCCCTTCTCTTCGTCGAGCAGCACGCAGAGCTCCTTGAGCTCCATGTTCTCCTTCACCACCTCCTCCTGCTTCACCTCCAGCTCCTTCAGCTTCTGCAGATATAAGGCCACTTCCTTGTGCATCACCCCAGCCGTGTAGCGGCCCAGTCTCTGCCACTCCCGGGACACCCTCTTGCCTTTCTGCCGGTCATCATCCAGGAAACAGCAGAGGTCCCTCAGTTCCTGGTTGTCCTCCTGGAGTTTCTGGTTGATATCCTGAAAAGAGAGAGACAGCCATGCAAGGGCGGTACCCAGGTGAGGCGGCCTCAGGCCCAGACCTCCTGGGAGACAGGAATAGGTGAATTCTCTGTGATGTGAGGGGCAGAGGTGAGAAGCTGAGAGGCCGCTGATGACTGTCATAAAAATCACAATAATGGGTCTGGGTTATGCTCCCCACCCAGGGCTTACTTGTATTATCTCATCGGATTTTCACAAACCACTTGGGAAGTGATGATTATCATGGTTCTTTTAAAGAAGAGGAGACTGGGGGCGCCTGGGTGGCTCAGTGGGTTAAAGCCTCTGCCTTCTGCTCAAGTCGTGGTCCCAGGGTCTTGGGATCGAGTCCCGCATTGGGCTCTCTGCTCAGCGGGGAGCCCGCTTCCCTCTCTCTCTCTCTGCCTGCCTCTCTGCCTACTTGTGATCTCTGTCTGTCAAATAAATAAATAAAATCTTTTAAAAAAATAAAAATTAAAAAAAAATAGGAGGAGACTGGACCTCACAAAGCTTCACTTGCCCAAGGCCAATATCCAGGGAGTAGCCACGTAATTTGCAAGAAAACCCTAAAACCAAGGATCCCCTCCCCTGCCCCACCCTCTTCCTGGAAGAAAATGGCTGCTCAGCAGCTGAGAAATGCTTAAAAGCTCTGAGGCAACAGGCCTTTCATCAGCACAAATACAGCACTGCCCGGTGTTCAGCCCCTGACACAGGACCAACAGCCCGGCTCCCACAGGGGACCAGCACAGCTGGCCTCCAGCGGCATTTCTGTCCCACACATCTGAGCCCTACTGGCATACCCCCTGCTCATCTCCCAGGCATCCCACATGAAACACGAGCAACACCAAGCTCTTGTGAGATTTTCTTTTCTTTTTAAAAAAATATTTTATTTATGTATTTGAGAGAGAGCACAAGCAGAGGGAGAGGGAGAAGCAGACTCCCTGCTGAGCAAGGAGCCCCCTGGGGGACCCAATCCCAGAACCCTGGAATCATCATGACCTGAGCCAAAGACAGCCGCTTAACCGAATGAGCCACCCAGGTGGCCCTCTTGTGGGATTTTCAAAGTCCCCTCCTCAAACTGCCCCTCTCAGCAAACGCCGCTTCCACTCAACCTGCCGCTCTTCCTAAGAGCCTGTGCTTGTGCCTGGCTGCTTCTCCCTCACCTTTCACTCCTGAACTAACAGCTCTTCTGAGCCCTACACTTCTGAGATTTAACTCATCTTGTCACCCCCATGCTTAGCATGCTAAAAACCACCGCACGCCCTGAGAATAAAGTGCAGAATCCTTCAAGTCTCCCAAGACCCCAGTCCTCTTAACCTGGCCCATTTCTCCTGCACAAATGGTGGTCTGCTCACTCATTCACAAGGACTTAGTAAGCAGCTAGTATGTGCCAGGTACCAGTCCAGGTGCTAGGAATGTATCAGTGGACACCACAGACATCTTGACATCCTACAGCTTTCATTTTGGCGGGAAAAACCGACATGGCATGTTGTGAAAGTGCTGGGAAGAAAACTGAAGCAGGCTAAAAAATACTATTTTTTAAGAGAAGGCACTTCACTGAGAAGGAAAACTTGTGAGCCAAGACGGGGTGGAATGAAGGAGCCAACATGTGAGGGAAGAGGATTGCAGGCAGAGAGAAGGGGAAGGATTTGCCCTGAGACAAACATGGCTGACGCTGCCCTGAGACAAACATGGCTGACGTTGCTGTGAGGCCAGTGTGCTTGAAGCATGGTGAGCACAGAGAGCAGAGCTGGGAGAGGAGGTGGGAGGGAGGAGACCCAGGAGCTTGGGTGTCGGGGCTGGGTAATGCTGAGCCTTGGCAGCCACGGGAAGGACTCTGGATTGGTGGTGAGCTGAGGATAGAGAAGTGACACAAGAGGTTCATTTTATAAAGAATCACCATCGTTCTGTGTGGAAAACAGACCAGAGGAGGGGGCGATGGAGAGAAAAAAGGGAGACAAGATAAGGTGGAAGCCAGGAGAGATCAGTTAGGAGTCCACCAGGCTGGTCCAGGTAGAGGGAGAGGATAGTGGCTTACACAGATGGCAGCAGTGGAGAAGGTGGGACCTATCCCTTGACCCCCAATTGAGCCCCACAAACACTGGCCTGGTTTCAGGGCCCAAGGAACAAGCCCTTCCCCTCCTTCACTTGGAATGTGTTCCCCTAACCTTCTGTACAACCTAATGGCCTCACTTTATAAATCACTTCCCCAGAAGCCATCCCTGACTACTACTGTCTAAAGAAGTTGTCTTATACACTTCTACCATTACCCCCTTTGACTTTCCCTCTGTGGCAGTCATTTCAATCACATATGGTTGAATGTGGATATGAGAACTCACCAGACCCTCGTCCCAAGAATGGAAACCCCATCTATTCTCTCCACCTGTGTGTCCAGAACACAGCACCCCCACTGTAGATACCTGAACCAAGGAACTTTGAAAACACATTGTGAGGTCCCCCTTTATTCTCCAGTCACACATCGAGTAAAGGGACCGTTTCTTGAAGCACCTTGGTTTGGTGGCCATGAATCAGGGGCGGTTCCAGGACTGTTACCTAAGATTTCTCCTGCTTTCTGAAGCCAGAAAAGCTCTGGTCTTGTGACTCCGTCATCCAACCCAGAACTAGAGGCACTTAGAGGAGACCTGATCGTGGTAAACTCAGGTTCATTCCAACCCTTTGCCTGACACTGGTGAGAAAATAAACTCTAAAACATCTGCCACCCACACCCAGCACCCCCTGACGGTATTGGGGCCCAAGGTGAGAGTCACCCAGATGAAGAAGAGGATTTTGCAGTGTGGTTTTAACTCCAGTTCTAACTCTTGGCATCCTGACTATCGGCTTCCTCGTTTCTGATGCCCGTCTCTTCTCGTTATCACTTTCTGACTTCAGGCCTGGCCATTTCCAAACACCCGCCACGTGGCCTCCCCTGCCTTTGTCTGCCGCTTCCTCTATCTTTCCTCGCCCACCCAAGCCAAGTTCTCCGTGGCCAGACTGAGCCTCAAAATCACTCCCTGAATGTTCTCTCTCCTGCATCAATCCCATCCTCTCCCTTTTACCAGGAAGATGAATAAACCCTTTGGCCAAGCCAGGAAGGCTTTCTCCTGAGCTCCCTCTTTGTCAGCTAATTATGAAGCTTGCTTGTATCCCAGCTTCCCAACTAGAAGAAACTGTCCTCTTCCCTACACGAACTTACCTAAGAGGAGAAATTCCTCTGAGAAGTCTCCCCTAGCCCCGGAACAGCTTCTGGCTGCCGTGGTGGCAACAATCATAAATGAATGAATGAAGTAACTTTCCCATTTATTGCTTAATGCCCCTAAGATACCATAGCTGGAGGACTCATTGGACATCTTTTTTTTTTTCCTTTTCCAATGTAGATGCCCTAGCTTCTGGGGGCAGACTCCATTCTAAAGTCATCTTTTGTGTAGCTGACGCGCCTGGCATGGCTCCTTGTGCACAGTAAATAATACGTGTTTATGGACTGACCAATGCTTTAAAAGCCCTAGGCCTGTGGCCAAAACAGGATATAGCTCTGGCTACCAAGGATTTCTTACTATTGTCTCAGTAAGCCCCTGCAAGGTTGGAGTACATGTCATAAGCGAGTAAAGGATCTGTTGACATTGATGCTTTCGGGGAAATCAGAAGCTGTGGAGACTGTGAGACAATAAGACTTAAAAAAAAAAATTAATCTTTCTAAGCTTCAAAAATTATTCAACATTTAGTTTAATCCTGCCATTTCATAGAAAGTTCAAGTCATATTCTTCTCCATCTCAATGAACTTCTGTCTGAAAATACTTCCTTTCGACTATCCCACAGCTATTCCTGACTTCTCCAGAACTGGGAAATACACTGGTGCTTTGTGGAGTTAATGGCTTTCCAAATGGAGGGAAGCATATACTTCCCAGAATTCCGGCTGGGGTAAAAGGGGTAACGGCCTACTTAGCTTTCTTTATCACCACGCCTTCTTCCAAGAGCAAATAATATTCTTGGGAATACAATTCTGAGCTATTTCCTTTGCCTTCTGTGGAAAAGCTAAGGAACAGATTTGATAATCACCTTCTAAGCCAGCTTCTTCAAATCTGCCACATTAAGATTTGGGCTTTCTTTTTCAGAACACAAAGTGTCCTCTGAACACTGACACTGGCTACCAGATGTTATCCATCTGTCTAAAGTGGACATTTAAAAGATTCAACCCACCTCATGGCCTACCACTCAAAATTTCATACGTAAGACTCCTAAGTACTCTCTCTGTGGTTAAAGAATTGTTCTAGTTTGTAATTTTTCTTCATTGCAGGGAGCAGGAATCCGTGTGTTGGGGAGCAGAGAGGAATATTAACATGATGCATAGCCAATCTACAGAGCCGGTTCCCCCAAATCTGCCCCCATCCCCTGAAACCCCAGGTCAGAGCAACCTGAGCATTGGTTCAGCAGGGCACAGACATGGTTCTCAGAATCCAACTCCTTGTAAGATCAGAACCAGAATCCCCTTCTCCACTCTTGCAGGATCACACATTCTAACCAGAGAGTGTCAACTAGCTGAAAAAAGAAAGTCAGCCTATTTTAAACACTGTATATCTGTGTGACCTTGAGAAAGCTATTAACTTCAAATGTATCATGTAATCCTCATCAAACTTTTTCCAGAATTAGCATCCCCATTTAGCAGATGAGAACACAGAAGCTCAGAGAGGTTAACAGCCTGCCGACGCTGCCCAAATTGTCAGACTCTAAATCCTTTCTCTCTCCGCTGCCCCACACTGCTCTACCTCTGAAATGTTTAAACACAGACAAGTCAGCCGGGACTTGGACCCAGTCACAGATCCCTCAAGGGAAAGACCTAGTGCTCCCATCTCCCCACCTCTACGGCCACAGTACCTAGTAGCCTTGAAAATATTCATTACAATTTCAAAAGCAGATCACAGAAAGGAACGTAAAAAAGAGAAATGTTGTGGCCTTCATAACCCTAACTTTAAGGCCCTCAATTGGGAGTCCCACACCATCAGAGCCAAAAACAAAATAAAAAATCCTTCCTTCTAGGTAAGTCAAAATAAGTTGACTGCACATATAATTTACTCAGTCAACCACATTAGCGCATCACGAGAGTGTCCAGGGATGTTCTGAGCTAAGATGATGGATAGAAGGGAGAAGGCTGGCCTCAGCCAGGCTTCACCACAGCCCCTCAGGGGTGGCCCAGAGGCCTTGGGGGCTATGATGTTGTACCTGGCCACGGATGATGGAAAGGAGTAGAGGCTGCATAAAAAAGGATCCAGCCCCACCTTTCTGAACTTGATAACGAGATGGACAAAAATGTCTTTTTAAGCCAGGTCATGAATCTAGACCAGGAGACTCTCCTACTTGGGGTGAAACTGCCCTTCGCTGGCCTAATAGGTATTTCTCTAAATGAAGCTACCAGAAAGAAGACCAGCCTCCCCCACCACTCACATAGACACACACACACACACACACTAAGACAATCCACACAACCCAAGAGAACCTTCAAGTATTTCTGAACTATTATGTTGATGCTCCATACTATTAAAATCCTTAGGAAGTTAATTACTTAATTAAAAACTCTTCCAAGCTACATTATAGTTCAAACCATGGAAGAAGATTAAACTGGAGGGTTATGAACTATACCTTTGTCCAGCTTTGCCTAAAAAACCCCATCATGGGGGTGCCTGGGTGACTCAGTGGGTTAAAGCCTCTGCCTTCGGCTCAGGTCATGATCCCAGGACCCTGGGATCGAGTCCCACATCGGGCTCTCTGCTCAGCAAGGAGTCTGCTTCCTCCTCTCTCTCTGCCTGCCTCTCTGCCTACTTGTGATCTCTGTCAAATAAATAAATAAAATCTTTAAAACAAAAACAAAAACAAACAAACAAAAAACCATCATGGAGGCGCACACCTATACATTTACAAGCCCGCTCCTGATGACAGTATCTACCACTGTCTTGTAGTCAAGTCCAGAATTAAAGCTTCTCCTACGTTATCCTAATGTCTTGTTGCAAACCCCCAGGAGATGATTTTTATCATTTGCATTTTATTGATGAGTAAAATGAGGTTCTGATAAATTAATTACCCAAGCTCACCCTCATGGCAAATGAGGATTCTAGATGCAAACCCACCTCTGAGATGATCTTCTCACTATACTAGCCTGTCTGTAATTCCCCAAGAGTATGGTACTTAATAAGTAATACTCGAGTAATGAATTAAACCAAAGGAGAGTGGAAGCCTTGGGATTTTTCTGACTGTGGGATCTTTCTAACTGCACCCACTCTAGGAACTAGAGGACAGTGAGTTGGAGCCCTGGAGAAGGCCATCTCCACCTGCACTGGACCCAGCACCCAGGCGAGCCTCTGGCCTTCTGTCCCTCCACACCTCTCTGCCCCAGAATCCCAGAGCAGGAGCACTGAAGCAATTAAGAAAGTGTCTACAGCCCTAGTGGGGTGGGAGTGGAAGGGGACAAGAACAGCCCGTGCCTGCAGAAATTTGCTCCCTGATGTCCCTGCAGTGTTTTCGTTTGTGTCTGGCTTCCTATAAACAAAAGCAGAACAATGAGAGGAAGGAATACCAGCAGGCACCCGCGCAAGCAGTGAGGAGAGGAAGTTTGCGGCGGTGCGCTGGCAGGGCGGATCCCAGACCCCGTCTCCTGCAGCCCCGCGGGCGGGCACACTGCTGCCACACTCAAAGCTCTCCAAGGAGAAGAGAAGTTGGTAGGGTTTTGGTCTTCTTTTTTTTTTTTTTTTTTTTTTTCTAATAGCAAAGAGGGAAGGCTGGTTCCAAAACCAAAGCGTCAAAGCTGACAGCCGGGGTGGTACTTTTCAAATCCCTTCACCCCCCTCAATACTAGATGAAATTATAATCAAACCGGGTGTGAAGGGGGGCAAGGGGGCCAAGAAGCCCCAGATGACGCCATCTGAATAGGAGCGAAGGAAAGCACAAAAGCAGGTAGAAAATGTGAAGGCAGAGCTTTAGGTCCTCTGCACTGGGTGACATACGTCAGCTCCGAAGGTGGCGCCAGCGACTTCTCCCTGGGCACCCCGCCAGCCCTTCTCCCCAGCATTGGCGCCCTTTCCTCATCCGCCGGAGCAGTCACGGCTCCAGAGCACCTATAACCCTAACCCCCAAGGACAAAGATGCCCTGGACTCACTCTCTCGCTCACCCCTTCCCCTGCCTGTGTCCCGGCTCCCCAAACCACTGGTTTTCCAGGAAAATAAAGGTTCTGCATGCCCATCACTCCCCTCCCTACTTTCCAGCATCCTCGGCGCCCGCTCCTCCGGCCACAGAAGACCCCGAATGAGAAGTCCACACTGGCTCGCCCCAAACAGGGAAGAGGAGACCAAACGCTTCCAAAGTTCGAAAAAAAGTTTCCAAAGGGATGGGGAAGGGTAGCAGGGGGTGGTGACCGGGAGAGTGGGGAGGATCACCTGTTGACGGAGGGTGGGAAAGTTTGCCTGGCCCCACCTCCCTGGGGCGCCCTGCTCCCCGCCCGGCCCCGCGCTCACCTTGAGCCCGCGGATCTCGCCGAGGTGCAGCTGCAGGCGGCGGTTCACCTCGCGGATGAGGTTACTGTGGTCCAGCATCGCGCTCACCTTCTCGGCCTCGGCGCGCCGCAGGCTGCGGATCAGCTCCTCCTTGCTCCACTGCAGCAGCTCCTCGTCCGACACTTTGGACAGGTCCTCCACCGCGGCGGCGGCGGACGGGCCGGCAGAGGCCGAGGGACAACTTTCAGCCGCCGCCGCCGCTGCCGGACCTCCCGCCGCCTTCGACATGGTATCCGCGCGGTGGCAGGTGCGAGTGGGTGGAAGAGGCAAAGCGACTCCCGAAGGCGCGGGCGCGGCGGGGCCGCCTCCACCCACACCCCTATGCGCTCCGGCGAGTCAGCTGCACCGCCCGGCGGCCGCTGGGTTGAGGCGGCAGGGGTCGCGCTGGGCGGCCATCCTACCTCGCCATCCCCGCGCGCGCGCCCGCGCAGCCCCAGGGCCCGGCAGTTACCCGCGCGCTGCTGCCGAGGCGCGTCCCAACTCGGCGCGAGTCCATGGTGAGGGGCGCCGGGGAGCGGGCGCCGCCGCGGGAAAACCTCGGGGAGCAGCGGGGGCGCACGGGGGCCGCGCCCCGGTTCCCCTGCCCTCTCCTCCGCTCCGATGCGAGACCGTCGCCCCCCACACTCTCGCACACACGCGCGCACTCTCCTCCCCCTCGCCCAGCTGCAGCCCCGGCTTCACTGCGTTCCTAGTCGAGCTAGGGCGCGCCGGGCTCCGCGGCGCCTCCGGGATTGCTCGAGCGACGCCGCCACCGCCGCTGCCCGAGCGCTCGGCGCGGCCCGCCTGCTGCGCTCCTCCCGCCGCCTTCGTTGCGCCCGCCGCCGCTCCTAGGCTGCTCGGGGAAAGCCTGCGATTTGCAGCCGAGCCGAGCCACGCCGAGGAGGGGTGGAGGGTGGAGGGGTAAAGGCTGGACCCGCAGGAGGAGGAGCCTGCAACGGGGGCCGTCCGCGGCCGCCCGCACCTTCCGCGCGGACCGGACGCAACTGCCGCTAGATCGCCTCCCGGGCTCCCGAGGCGCTCTCCCCGCTATCCCGCCGGGGAAGGTCGGGGGCGCGGCTCCTCCAGCGCCGCGGCGCGGGTGGGGCGGGATGCGGGAGAAGCGTGAGAAGCCGAGCGGCCCGGCTCTCGCAGGCTCGCGCGCGCCACCATGTGGCGGAAGGAGCTCCTTCCTCCGCCCCCTGCGCGCCGGGTTTGTGACCCTGCTGGGAAACAACGCGCGACCAAAATGAGAGACACTTGGTATTTGCAGTGATTGGAGGTCAGGGAAGAAAGACTAGATAGATTAGATTGATAGAGATAGATAGATAGATAGATAGATAGATAGATAGATAGATAGATAGATAGATACATGCATACATACATACATACATACATACATTAGATAGAAAGAATAAGATAGATTGATCATATAGATAGACTGACCGACCCGAAGGATAACCATCGATTTCTACTTTGGAGAATGGAAGAAAAGGTCGATGGCCAAAAGGGGGGGGCGGGGGCCGGGGGAGTGTAAGTGGGGTGGGAAAGGAACATTGAAGAAAACCCTCGTGCTCTGAAAAGAGCAAAGAAAGGCTTTGCTTCGGGGCATTACTCTTTAGGGACCACCCGCCCCCAGGCCCTTGTCTTTTCTAAAAATCCACTACTTTGTGAAGAGCTTCAGGGGCTGGAATTGGATCATTTAAGTTTTATTTGAAAAACATCAAAGCCTTAAAGGGAAAATAAAATACCTTCACCTCCAGATTCCCTAGCCCTGGATTTTTAAGGTCAACACAGTCACCTCCCCTCTGAGCAGAGGACAGCCCCTTAAGCAGCCGGAACTGCCAGGGAGATTTCCATTTTCCTCTGCTGCTGGCAGTCAGTTCTTAGTGGGTTGGTTTTTTGTGATGGTAATTTCTGGAAGTGGGTGTTCCCTGTCCCCGGGTCCTATCTTTGGGCTGCAAAATTCCCTTTCCCACCTCCCCAGTTCTACCCTCCTGTTGCGTGAAATCAAACCAGAGCTGAAAGCATCTGTTTCTTGCCTGAAGAAGTTAGATGCACTTGTCCTGGGCACATCATTTTGATGAGTACTCTCCTCTCCAGGATGGAGACACGCCAGAAAAGTGCAGGAACTTCCCCCCAGAGGGTTTCGGAAAGCCAGGGTGCAGAGGGGCTAATCACCTGGTAGGGTGAGGCTCTGATTCAGAGTCCCTCCACCTGCAGGTCACTGTGCGTCCCCTGATAAGGCTACCACCTTTTAACAGATCATCAGATGGGGACTGTCTGGGTCTTAGCTTCCTGGAGAGCAAGGAAAGAGGTGCAGCCCTCTGACCCAGATGGCCTTAAAGTACCCCTCAGCTTGACTATAAACTTTAGACAGGTTTCTCCCTGACTATACGTCCCTGACCTCCCTTTTCTTAGAGCACTTCCTTTAGCAAACTTGGAATTGTGAATTCTTTCTCTGCTGCCTTGAGTTGTAAATCACCTCCCAGCTTTTCACCTGTTTCACCACCCAGGAATGTCCTGCTCCAGGACCTGGAAGCCATCCCTTGGAAATGTAATTATCAAGGAAGATAGCCCCCTCCCACCCCCGCCCCATCTCTCCTTCTCTCTGAAAGGTGTGGAGCCTAACTTCACTAAGTGCCAATTAGCAAACATAAATGGTCTAATCACACTAACCAACTCCCCTCACCCCTTCCCATTCCCAGTATCCTCCAGTATTTTCCCAGTAGCCCATCCTGGGGGCTTAAAAACCCTACTGTGTCTTGGGGCCCTGGGTTGCTCAGTCGGTTAAACATCTGGCTTTCCATCTCAGCTCAGGTCTTAATCTCAGAGTCTTAGGTTCAAGCCCCAAGTTGAGCTCCTGGCTGGACATTGAGCCTACTTAAAAAATAAACAACAACAACAACCAAAAAAAAAACCCAACAAAAACAAAAAAACACCCTCCTGCCTCTTATGACAGAGGAGTAAATTTCAGTCTCTCTCCCCTTGGGTTTAACTGCAAGTGAAACTTGTCTTTGACACCTCCCCGTCTCTCATGTGGGCAGAAGGCTCTCTTCAGCACAGTTCCTGAGATCTCTTTTGACACGGGAAGGGAAAATACAAGTCCTGTCCCTGTCCCTTGTTAATTTGTCAGCTTGAACAAATCATCTTACCTCTTGGGGCTCCGGCAGCTAAGGAGGTAATGGACATGAAGTCCTTTGTCAAGTTACCTACAGAAATGCCACTTTGTTATGACTATACTACAACCGCCTAGCCCACTCTCTGGATATAGGAACCACCACATCTGGGTGGTTTTTCCTCCACCGGGTTTGTTCTTTAAGAGTCCAGTTCCAAAATCCAATGCCAGCGCTCTTCGTTGCTAATTCTCTCAGACAGTTAACCACTAAGCAGCTATTGAAAGGCAGATAGATGGCTGAGTGGAGGAACAAGACATGCGGGGAGAAGTCAAGGAAGAAAGAAAGCAAAGAAAAATTTTCCACAAACTTCTATACCCTAGCAGCTACTTACTACTGGGCTAGATCAACATGATGAAGTTTTGATATTCCTAATTTTGGTCACTGATTCAGGATAATTATGGAATGAATGATTTTGATTCATGTTGCTAAGGTCATGGTGGTATCGGGAACTTGGATGCTAAAGACAGACGGCTCAAAACGCAATCACCTAAAGAAGGCATGTATTTTCTCTCACACAACCGACATTCAGTTGAGGGTTGGTATGATGTCTTTATGGTATCATCAAAAACTTAAGACTCCTGGGGCGCCTGGGTGACTCAGTCAGTTAAGCAACTAACTCTTGGTTTCTGCTCAGGCATGATCTCAGGATCGTGATGTCAAGCCCTGCGTTGGACTCTGCACTTAGTGTGGAGTCTGCTTGAGATTTTCTTCCTCTCCCTCTACCCCTTCCCCCAACTCACACTCTCTCTGTCTCCCTCTTTCCCTCCCTCTCTCTCTCAAATAAATAAATACAATCTTAAAACAACTTAGACTCCTTCTCTCTGCTCAGCCATACTTAGCATGACTATTTCCTGGCAACAAGGTGGCTGCTGGAGTGCCAGCCATCCATCTACATTTGGGGCTGGACAAAGATAGGACCAAATGCCAAAAGGACACGTGCCATTTTAAAATGTGTCCTGGTAATATAACACAGTGAATCTCATTTGTATCCTAATAGCCAGGGCTTGCCATGGAACCACCTCCCTGCTATAAGGGAACCTAGGAAACTTTTTAAAGTTAAGCACCTTAGCACAACCCCCCTCCTTTTTTTAAAGATTTTATTTATTTATTTGAGAAAGAGAGAGAAAGAGAAAATGTGCAAACAGAGGGAGGGACAGAGGGAGCAGGAGAGAGGTTATTTCAAGCAGACTCACCACTGAGCATGGAGCCCAACACAGGGCTCAATCCCACAACCCTCAGATCATGGCCTGAGCTGAAATCAAGAGACAGATGCTCAACCGACTGAGCCACCCAGGTGCCCCAAACATCTGACTCTTGATCTCAGTTCAGGTCTTGATCTCAGGGTCATGAGTTCAGGCCCCATATTGGGCTCCACACATGAAAAAAAAGATAAGCATATTAATGCCCCCAAGTAAAATCAGAGTTGTTTTAATAAGAAATAAGAACACATGATATGTGATGGACAACTAACTGTTTGGTATGCAACCCTAGCAGTAGATTCTGCGTATCTAAAAACCAGCCATAAACGACATTAAGTCCATAAGCCCTGGAGGTTTTATCTCATCAGTCGTTTTGAACCACCTCCATTCCATCCACCACTCACCATCACCCAGACCAGGCCCTCACTAGGTCTCACCTGACCCTCCTCACTGGTCCCTCTGACACCAGTGTCACTTGTCTTGAATCTGCTTTCCACACAGCTGCCCCAAGGAGCTATCTACAAAGTCAAGTCCAGCTGTTTCACCTCCAACGGAGATCAAATCCTTGCGCAGAGTTCTTGCCAGCCCACCAGCCTGATTCAGACCACTCTCTGCATGCGACTTTGCAGCAGCTCCCAGGCAGGGGGGCAGTTTCCCCAAGGATGATATGCTTGGCCGTGGGCTGGTGTTGCTAATGGAATGTGGGCGTACCTGAGTGGATCCCTTCTGCTTGTCCCTTCACCATCTTGTACTTCCCACATATCACTGGCAGAACTGACCTTGGGCAGCTGCTGTTCCTTGGGGCTCAGCCCCATGCGGTGTCACCCTAGGCATCCTACAAACCTGCACCCTGAAGTAGAGCCTCCTTCCCCTC